ATTGGTTATTGTATTTTGTCATTTGTTATTGCAGCATGAATTAGTCCCTTAAAAACACAGTATCTTCTGAGCCAGCCCGCATCATGCACAGTCTCTCCTGCAGCAGCGGTCTGGTTTGCTCCTTCTCAGCTTAGGGCAGAGACTTTCCGAGGCACCAGCTGAATTCGGGGGGTCAGCCCCACATAGAGCCTGGTTGTGCCACACCAGCGGGCTCAGGCTTTCAGAGTCCCACATCCTCAACACCAGTGGGTCTTTTCTAGAGTGCAAGGCAGCAAAGCCTCCAGGGATGGCTTGGGAAGCCGCATCTGTAGCAGCAGGGTGTGTGGGAGAGCAATGCTCCCTTGTGCTTTCTGGCTGCATCATTTTCTAGGAATTAATAGTGATACCCACGTGTCCTGCACGTGATTCAGGTGCCCATTTATCTGTGTGCATGCAACACCTTTTCCTTTTTATTCCCCCCCTTATTTTAATGCTAAGAGCACTTAGGGCCCTGGTGCTTGCTTCTTTTGACACGGGTTTTCTTCCCCTTAGGAAAACACACACGTTGTTTCCTCAGAAGAGCACTGTGCCGAGTTCTGCCTTCCCCAGCTACTCCTCCTCCTGCAGCCCCAGTCTCCAGCTGCTTGCAGTGGCCACAAGGCAGGGAGGAGCCAAGGTCTGATGAGTAAGTTTCAGTGGAAAACTTTGATTTGTTGCATTTATTTGTTAGATCATTCCCTTTCAGAAGTGGTTGGGGTTTTCGGAAGGGGAGCAAGCTGCTTGCTTTGAGTGATCAGCTCTATTATAGTTACTCCATTTATCTCTGTATGTGCATACTAAATGAGGTTCCAGCCTAATGAGCTTCTGAAATTTAATTGAGTGCTATAGCTGTTACTAAATCTCTGCAGAAATCAGACCAAACTAAGATGAGACAGATATCGTGAGATCACCCAGCAAAACCTGTCCCTTCTCATTACCCACTGTAGGGTTTTTTCTCCCATCAGAGGTTACATGGGCTTTAAAATCATCTGCTTCATTATTAATGAGAAAATTGACTTATTTTAATCTGTGTATTATTTTAAGGCTTTGACAAGCAGTCAAACCACCCCGCTAATCCCTAATCCCTGGATAATCATCACCCAGCAATTTTAAACTGTGGTCTCAGAGAATTACAGGAGGAGCCAGGCATAAAGCAGCCGGAGTCTGCACATCAGATGACTTCCATTTTTATTAGCATTACTAGCATTATTATTGCTATTCTTATTTAAAGCACACCTCTGGCATGTGTCACCAGAACCTCTTCCCCATCTGCTCCGCATAGAGAGTTTCAGGAAGGAGGCAAAGCCAATCACCCAAAGCAGAGCAGTGTTGAGGGTGAGTTTAATAGAACACAAATAATTCTTCTTTAAAGAAATCCCATCGTTTGCCACACGTTTTAAAGCACAGAAAGTATTGCCTAACCCCTAACCGCCAACGAGCTCGGAATACTGGATCCCTTTATTCTCTGGGTTTAAGAGTTATAATTAGAACCTTTCCTATAGGGTTTTCCATATCTCCATGTAATTCTAAAAAAATCCCTCTTGTCTTTCCCAATAAACCAAAGCATTGTTACCCAGACTGGAAGCAAACAATTACAGGGAGAAATGGAGACACTGGGGTTTGAAGAGGCTTGGGGGGTGGGTTTTGAGGCAGAAAAACTCTCCAACTAGCAGTGTTCTCACTTAGCATCACTGTTCTCCCTGCAGCGTGGCTGTCCACACTTGGGCAGGCTCTGGAGGTGGAGGGTGGCTCTAAAGAAAGCGAGATGGAGCTGGCTGTAGACAGCAGTGAGCACATGGAGAACACACACATGGCAGAGCCTTCGTAGATGGTCATGTGCAGTGAAAAGAGCAGAGAAATGGCCCTCATCGTGGCAAAATAAGACCTGATTTGGGGCAAAAAGTATGTCCAGCAGGCCAAGGGGAAGCTTGGTCTCATAGAGCCTGGCTATTGGAAAAGAGCAGGAGAAGGAGACCCCGCAGCAGCAGCCACAGGTAATGCAGCCGGGTTTACATCTCCCAGAGGAGTTCCACTGCTGGGAGATGTCTGTAGCTCTATTTAAAATAGCTTTAGTAGATGAGTTCTCCTTGGGATGATGCATCTCATCTTTCTCTCCCTAAGAAGGAAACCTCTTTCCTTGCTTAAAATCAGAGGATGGTAAAGGAAAAACTTATTTCTTTTTCTTCCTAAGACAGAGAAACTGTCATTAACACCCATGTCCAGGAGTGTGTTCCTCATTTATAGCCCCATGGTTATAACACACTCAGGTCCACATTAATATTTCAGAATTCTTTCATTTTATTGCAGCTTATTTTTCTTCCCTCCCACCCTGCACGTCAAAAGATGATTGATACGTGTAAAACTGGGCCTTAAAAACACAAGTCATTGCCTGAGGTTCTTCCTATAATCAAAGCACATGCCCACCCATAGCTAATTAGACATTAGCCTAATGTCAACTGATTGATTTAGAGCAGTCCTACCACCCACCCGAAAAAGAGCACGGAGCCCCTGACAGCAGCAACACAGGGAAAGTGGCACCTGAGGGAGGGGGAGGCTTTGCCTTTAAAAGCTCTTGATGTAAAACACATTTGTGTGTGTTTATGTGAAGACGATGCAAAGCAGTTTTTTCCTTCTCTGTACTGAACAAAAGGATCTGGTTAGCAGGAAAAAGGAGGTAAGGTCCATTCCAGACAAATTTAGGAGGTTTAAGCTGTTGGATGAGTTAAGTGGAGTGGAGCGTTGTCACCGTGCTAAGAGCAAAGGTCTCTACCCCAAGGTAAGACCTGGCTGGTTTGCTGGGTCCAGTCTTACATTTGGCTATGATTTAGATACAATTTTTCAAAATCCTTTGCATTTTTTTCTTTTCCTTTATTTTTTTCCCCCTTCTTTTCCCTCCCCGCTCTGGATTTATGGGTCAGGAACCCTCCAAAGTTGTCCTGATGGATTAAGCAGCAATAAGTTGTATCGAGTAAATTAAAAATGAAATAGTTACAGCTGTTGGAATAGTCTCAGGGCTGGAGGATGTAAAAGACTTTCTACCCTCAAGGGGCCTGGAAGTAATCTGTGAAGCACCAGCTGCTTCAATAAAGACAGGCTGAGTGAGGGCTGGGGTCCTGAAGGATGGAGAGAGCATCCAGTGCCATTGGGCCTGAGTATGGTTTAAGGGAAACCAAGGGAGCAGCTGCCTTCCAAGCTCTGCTTGCTCCCAGTATCCCCAGACAGTTTGGGCCAGTCCCAGATTTAATGGAGCAGAAAGGACAGGGATGGCTGGGAATAACACATGGAGGAATTTTTCATCCCAGCTCTTCTCCAAACAGTGCCCATGAGGTGTCTTTGCCGTGTGCACAGTGATGTACCCCTCTCTGCTCCCGGCACCACGTTCTGCCTCTGAATTACTGCCCTGAGTAATGTTTAAGGTGGAATTTGTCTCTGCAGATGAGAGGAGCAGCTGAATGCTGTCTGTGGTGCAATATTCCCTTTAACCCAGCTGCATATGGGGAGCGAGAGGAGGAGGGCACATCCTCAGCAGCAGAATCTGTGCAACTTCACATTTCTCAGCTATAAACCTTTCAATAGCTGGAAGTAAATCCTTCAGCTTTCTACTAGAGCTCAGCCTCTGCAGCTGCAAATTTATTTGGCAGGCAGAGAATGGGGCCAAAAGAAGTAAATACGAGTGATGTGAGTGATAGTGCTAGAACATTACGCAAGCTCCCACATGGCTGCAGCAATTCCCAGGCTGCTAATTCCCTGCTGGAGCTCTCCTACCAAAACTGGAGGTGTCCTTCCCAGGGTGCTGGGAAGGGAGGGGGATGCAGGAGAAGGCGTTTCTGCAGAGCTCAGCTCCAAGTGTGGTTTTGGGATACAAGGCTGCTCGTGTGTGTTGGAGAGGTGCAAACAGAGATGATGCCCTGCTCGGGTTTGTTTATGGTCTCACATGTATAAGTACTATAAATCTATTCCTGGCTACTGGAGTTGGGCTGGAAGTTCATCCATGTATTCACATTTTATAGGTGCCCAGGTAAAAATCAGTGTGGTCTGATAGCCCGGTGATGTGCGTGCTGGGCTGGGGATGAGGTGGGTGCCAGTATTCCCACTGATGTTATTCTGGTTGCTATTTGTTCCTATTCCATTAACACCTTGGTCCCCTGTCATAGAGTAAGAGCCCTCAGTACTAACACAGATGTTCAACAAAATTATGAGGACTGGCCCAAAGCATCTACCATCTGACTAATACTTTTTCTCTCCCCCTTATGAATTGATGTTGCTTAATACTTTGGAATCTCACAGCATTTCAGCCATGGTAAGATGTTTTTATATCCTCTTTTGTACAGGGACCTTGTGGGCTTGGGGAGAGGTGGTTGGTTTTGGTTTGGCTTTGCATTGCTGTTGTAATTTAAAGGGATTTCTTGCCCCCATGTTGTAAAGGGGCTCCATCAACTCGCAAGTATACTGGCAACGTGTAGTTTGCTTGCACATTTGAAAAGGAGACTACATTTGGTGGGGGTCTTTTCTGCTAATTGTCAGTGCAGCAAAACTAGCTTTGGATCTAGAAATAGCTCTAAGATGCAGTCACTTTTTCAGAAGGAAAGTGGGGGAGGAGGATCTATATACTGAATGCGGGGGTACTGAGATAGTGCTGGGCTTCAACACAAGCTTGCGTGGCTCTGCCTTTGTCGGGAATAACATCTAGATCCTAGACTTGAGTTACTTGCAGGGTCTGTGCCATTGTCATCACCCCAGGAGGCAATGCCCCTGGAAGGGGCCAGTCCCCATAACTGATGGAGTGTGGGGGTCCCTTGGCAGAGCACGACCTGTCCCTCTCCCAGCAGACCCCAGTTACAGCCATGGCTCAGTAACTTGTTCTCTGCAGGACGCCCGGCGATGCCACAGCCGTTACTGACGGCTCCATCCTGGAGCCCAGATGAGAACATTCATTTCACACCACAAACTTCTTCTCTCTCTGTTCCCCCTCCCTTCTTTTATCGAGTTTCAATATAATAAACAAAGGGGAGTTATTATTTCATTGGCAGACTCCAGCTAATGCACAAACTGTTTTCAGTACTGGCACACGGAGGGGCTTTTTTCACCATATACTGGCCAGTCAGACCCGTATCAGTCCTAATGGCACAGGGAAATGGAAACTGAGATCTTTTACCTTGAAGAATAGCTGCAATTCATCCACTGCTCAGACTCCCCTCCCCTTTAATTTCTTTTATTGCTAGCACAGCAAAATGAATCATCACAGTGGTATCAAAGGAAACGTTTCCAAGCTGTTGATGTACAGCAAAGGGACAGTTTCATATAACTTAGTATTTAATCTTCTCAGCCCATGGCACCGTGCTTGGTGTGAACACTTTGGTTCTCATCATGACTCTGGGCAAATTGCTTCACTTCTCCAGGCTTCTGCTGTCTTTTTAGATGGTCCATTTGGATATAAAACTTTTCCATCTGAAAGTCATGAATTTAAGCCTTATTCTTGGCTTGTACCAAAGCCATTCCCAATAGACAGCATTGAAATTAGTACCTCATTAATTGGGACAATTAATTAGCAGCAGAGTCCAGCTCCATCACTCTTTCTGTACTTCAGTCTTTTGCTACAGGTGCCCTTCACCACGCTGGCCTCTGGACTACAACAGGCCCTTGACTAGTTACAACTGCATGCCATATTTCATGTATTAGGTAAGCTTACTGTGTAAGTGTAGCTGTTTTTAAGCTAATGGTAGAGCATCAGCAGTAGTTAAAGCCGATAAACACTTTATTTCTTTTTCCAAGTTAGCTTTTGAGCATTCCTTTCTGGAGCTGAAAAGATACTGAAGTTGTTAAAGCGAGTCCTTGTTAGGAGTGTTTTAGGAAAGCAGAGATTTCTGCAGGCAACCCCACAGTGTGACATCCAGAAGTACCTGCCAACTGCCACGGCAATGACTGGAGTCCCCATCCCAGCAGCTCACCCACGGGGTGTCAATGGGAGAGCACACTCATGGAGGTAAGCTCATGAAGTGCTGCCCCTAATAACCAAGGGGAAAAAAAGGGAAACCGGCTCAATGCATTGGGGTAACTCCACAAGGCAAATCTCTACCCAGAACAAGCCAAGATTCACTTCTGGCTAAAATTCCTGCACTGACACTAACTGCTGCTTGATTAAGTGATTTTTCCTGAGCCCATGATGCAAGGCATTGTCAGAGAAAGGGCTTATGCAAGGCTGCAGCAGTCCCTGCTGAATGCCTGAGCCATTGAATGATCCAGCCCACCGCACACCCCGTCAGGTCTGTTACCTGCTGTCAGCTCCCCCACTGGAAAAACATGCAATTTTCCAAAGGTAAGAACGTCTTGGGTTACTAGGAACACAAATCATTACGAGTAAAACTGCATTCCCAATTTATTGTATTTGTTTTATTTATAATTTTATTACTTATTCCACATTTTCCATGTGTTTCACGTCATTCTTGTCCATTCAGACCTTTACGTGGAAACTTGGGCTCTTCTCCACTGCCTAATGTGTTGAAGGCTTTATAAACAGCCTTGATTCATTGTTTGCTCCGCATGCCTCCATGCTAAGAGCATGCAGCTAATGTTGTGCCTGGTATAAGTGTCAGTGTTCTCTCACTGGGGAGCTAGATGGGGTGAGAAGGGAAGAAAAGCAACAATTACTGTGATAAGCAGGTGAAAATAAAGACCATCAAACTGTTCACCTGGCGTTCTAACAAAGACCAGTTTGAGCCTGTGCTGATTTGGGTTGTGTTTTCTTTCAGGGTTTGAAGTTGTCAAAGACAGAGATTTTTCCATTGTGCTGCAAGCAAGGCTGGTCAACGTGTTGCACATGCACACCCACATTTACCACCAACTGAATGATGATGAAACCCCTCCCCATGCTGCTTGGATCCTTCCCTGCTCTATGCTTCTGGAAGGTAATACCATGCATTTATGTGCCCCGTTAATTCACTATTTTCCCTTCTCCTGACTGCACAGGCTTTTCTTTCATGCTCCCATCTGACCACAATCTGTGAGCAAACCAGGAGCATTCAGCAATGCTGCTTTTAGCTGCGCTCTCAAGGCTTTGTGGCAACAGGAACATTAGGTCAATTTGCAAACAGCCTTGGAAAATCTGGTGCAGCATCTCTAATGCTATTGACAGGGCCTGCTTAAACCTGGCATTGCCAGGCTAACAGTTGTCATTCAGCCCTTGAGCACACTTAAACCATCTCATCTATTTTTCATCAGTCTTGCGCCCTTCGCGATAACTCTCTTATCAATTCATGAGGATGTTCATTCTGATTCAGTGCAATCCCATGGGTAACAAGTCACATGTAAACCCAACTAATCCCTCAGATTGCAAAAGGATGCTCAGTTCCTGCAACAGAACTCTCAATGGGTTTATTCCAGATACTACAGTTAAGGTGACTTTTTCCTATCAAGCACTCGTAAAACAATGTCGTATTTGATGGCAGAGGAGGGGGCGAGGAGATTGGATTAAAACATCTGGCGAGGTAATTAGATTCACTAAAAAGTTTATGCTCTAAACTGCCCCTACATAATTGATGGCACTGTGGTGATGTGTCACTTCCACTTAGCGGCGGCCGGCAGCGCCTCTCGCCTCGCTGCACCCTGGGCTAACCTTCCCCGCTGACCTGCTGCGGTCCCCCTATTAAAGCCGCAATTAGGGGGTGACTCTTAATAGCGAGGTCTTGCTGCAGAGGGGGGGAAATGTTTCTGTAGCTCACATGCGACAATTAAAGATAATTTAAAATGTAAGTAATTGCACTGGGTTTCTGGAAACTACTGTAGGGGTCTTGTCCCAGGCATCTGACAGGCATGGTGGTGTATTTTGACAAGTTTTGCGCAGATTTCCATTAAATACCAACTTGCAGCTCTATTTTCTTTGGAGTCATTGGTCAGGAAATGGAGATTGCGAAAGGTCAGGCCTGGAAGATTTGGGAGGGGATGGAGGTGTTATTCCTGTTCTGATCCGCGGGGATCTAGGTCCAACGTAAATGCTTCAGTCGCTTGATTCTTGCTTTCTGGGTAGTCTTTAGGCAGGAGAAAGGGAAGGACTGATTGATACACAGAGAAGAGCTTCTGGTGAGTTCCTTTCACCTTTCCCTGCCAGGCAAGCTGGGACCCAATAAGCTAGCTAGAAACGTGGTGAGTCTGGGTTGAGAGACCTGGCAGACATTAATACCACAGCCACCATGGCACTAACCCTCTTACTGTGCAGAACTAGCTCCGAAACTGCAGCTCCTCCAAGGCTTCTGCAAGGTCAGCGAAGTGTGAACATCATGCCGAACGCACCCAGATACTTTCAGAGGTTCAGCAGTCCCTGAAAAGAGCTTTTTTATGATGAAAACAGACTGTCAGATGAGTTTGGATTCTGCCACATGGTCCTAGCGATAATAAGCCATCTGTGTGCACGCGACCTTTCCTCTCCCCATTTTGTCTCCATCACTTTCCTTCCAAGTCCCCTCTCTCTGCTTTGACCTACATTTGAGTAACCCACCAAATGCCAGCAGTGCACATAGCAGAGTTAAATGTGTACTCGGTTACCAACACGCTAACGAACAGCAAGTCCATCCTCAGCAGAGGGAAAAGAAGCATGTGGAAATGGGATGATCCATCAAATGGAAAAGGACCCATCAGGAACATAATCGCCTTCTGCTACACTTGACTGATTGACTGGCTCCTCTCCCAGTTAGTGGGACTTTTGCTCCTCAATTGTTTGGGGTAGGGTTTTAAAAGATGTTTGGTACTGTTTGTATATTATTATGATGATGATAATATATAGTACATATATGGTATATAATATATAGTATTTATATAATATTTGAAAGCTGCACTTTTATTTCCTTTTCCATGGCTGGAATTCTAAGTAATCAAAAGCTAGAGCTTATACCTCTGTATTATAGATACATTCAGTTTGTGCCACTTACGATTAATGTTAACCAAGTGTGTTTGTAAGCAGTTCCAGGATCACGTTCTCTGAAAGCTTTTCCTTTTGTGTAACTTTATATAAGATAAAATAGGAAATAAAAGCTGGGACAGACTCACGCTCATTACTGCTTTCAAGTGGCTGTCTTTCTGTCTGCAGTATTTCAGACGCATTGGTAATACCATGGCAGCTCACCACAAAAACACATTGAGGGACTTCATAAAAACCAGAAAATGAAATTAAATATGTATAAGAAAAATTAAATAGTAAAAAAAAAAGGGCGAATTCAGTGAAACACACACTGAAAATGCACGACCACAGAGAAAATGCATCAAACTTTCAAATCATTTTTCTTCCTTTCTAAACCAGAATGATCCCAAATAAGAATATCCCTGAGCCCCTGCTCTCTGTATTTACCCCAGTGTGGTGTTTTTCATGAGGAACTCAAAGAGAAATTACCCTTGAAATGAGAAGAGAGCTGCGGTTCTTTAGTTCATCATGATCCAAGCATCCCTTCTGCCACGGCTGGATCCTTATGGATGAACCGGAAGGACCCGAAATGGCTTTGGCCTTGGTTTTTGTAACCCAGAATCGCTTTTTTCCTCCTTCTTTCTAATCAAAACGTCCCCGATGTGCTCAGACACAACACGCCACGTGGTGCGGTGACCCAGACAGGGGGAAGAGGGTCTGCGCCCTCCGCAGAGCCGCGCCTGACAAATGCCACCGCGTGGCACCGAGCAGAGACAGGCGCTGCAAAAAGCATTCCTGGGGCCGTTTCCTGGTGCCTCTCCAAGCTGACAGAGGAGGTTTATGTTAACATCACATGGCTGTCTTCGGCTGCGTTTGTTAGCACAGCCCCTTTGGGGAGCTTGCCATGTTGGGCTGCATGGGGAACAGGATGGGGGGGGGAGAAAAAAGCAACTAAAACATGTATTGGGTTTTAACACCCACATCTGCCTTGGTAACGCTATCAAACCCTCTGCCCCCATCCAGGCAAAGCCTTTGGAGAACACTTGGAGGGCAGCTTTTAAAACACATAACACATAGGAAACCAACACAGTGTAGAGACTTGGCAATGAGGCTGCCGCAAGGAGCCAAGTTGGGCATGGAAAAGAAAATTAAGACAATAAAAGGTCATTGCTAGCCAAGTTTTAAGTGAGTATACAATACATACCTTTTTTTTCCCCTTCTTTCTGCCTTAGTTATTGGCCAACTTGGCTAAGAGCTTATGGAAAACACTGAAGTGGAATTATAATTGGGGTTTTTTTTTTCCTCTTTTTGACCAAGCAAAAGTTCTTATAGGCAATAATTTAATTATGGCAAAAGACTAACACAGACACGGGGTTTAGGGATGTATCATCAAAAAAAACCCTCTTTTCTACACCATACTTTAAACTAAGGCTGGTTCATGGGCACCAGTGATCTAATCCTACTGCTATTTATGATTTTGGGGGATTATTTTCGATAAAGTATGTCATAAAGTGGAAAATTACCCGTGCCGATCACAGTTCCAAGCAGGCTCATTTAGAACCGAGTGCTGTAAGTCAATTAGGATAATAAACCTGCCGGAGGGAGGAGGGGAAACCTCCTTGGGATCAGCATTTTCACCCTGCTCCTGGTGTGCTGTAAGGCAGGGATCGACCAGGAGGTGCTGAACAAGTGGCTCCAGTGCCCCCCTTCCTCTCGCCATCCGGGTGGCAGCGCGTTCCCGCAGCCTCCTTCCTTGTCCCCAGGATGGCTGCTGAAGAGCGAGCTCCTGGCTGATGTGGGTTGCTCTGTTTCGTACCTACATGTGCCTTGGGTTTATTCCAGCCTTTTTAGAAGGGCAGAGTTTAAAAAAAACAATTAAAAGGAAATACAGGATTTTTTCCCCTCGTAAGAGCTGAACTGGAGGCATTCTCCTCCCCTTCTGAAGGCTGTGCGTTCCTGTCTATAAGATCAGAGATCTAGTGAGACATATGACTGAGAAACATGGATAATTCCAACTTGCATCTGCCCAGGCCTGGACCAGACACTTCCTTGGGATAAACAGCTGCATGAACAGCTCATAGACAGCAGCCTCTGTGCACTGAAGTACCCTGATGATGCTGGCGTATTTTGATGCTAGGACACAGCCTCTGGATGCACGATGCCAAAGCACAGTCTGGAGAAGTTGGCCTCCTACGTGAGAAAAAAGGAGTCAGGAACGGTGTACAAAGGAAAAGAGAAAGATCTGAAGCTTGAAAGCAAAAGGATAAGCCTGACATTAATAGGAAGTTTATAAGGTGCAGGTGTAGGCTGTGTTTAAATGAGAACAACAGTTTCCTCTTTGCCACTTGTCCATTAAAGGAGGCAATTCTTTTTCAAACAGGGCTGATCTTACATTTCTCATATTCTCTTGGAAACGTCCTGCCAAGTGGGATGACTTTTTTGTCTCTAAATAAGCGGAGGTTTCACATTTACCTCTTTGCCATGTTTTTTGGGTGTCTTCTCACAAAAATAAGAATCAAAATTTAATAAAAAAATTAATATCCATTCCTATTTATGCTACGGGAAGATGGGAGGAGGCTGCACCAATGGAAGCAGCAAAATGCCTTCACTTTGGAGAGATTGTTTTTAACAGAACACGTTCATGGCCAAATTACCTGGGTAAAGAGAAGGGGATTTCCCCCCAGTAATATTTCATAGCAGAGCACAGGTCACTCCAAGCCCCTGTTGGTTGCAAGATGCAAGCAGTGAGCAAATAGGCATGGGTTGTAAGTGGGTGGCATGGTCAGGGTAGCTGTCACACTGCTATGTGCAAACCCATGTACCTGCAGCCCATGAACTTGGCCAGCCCTCTGGGCAGGCTTCAGTGCAAGCTATTTACTGGTGCTACTGGGGGGGGGTCACAGCCCAACAAGCCTTGTCAAGCCCCACATGTGTAAGGTGGGTGTGAATCCCTAATTATACTCCTTGGGAAAGACTTAGGTGACCTAACGTAGCTAGCACATAAGTCCATTCCACACCATCCAGATGGCATTTGCTGGCTGGCATGACTGGATCTGCGCTGCAGGAGCAGGGAGCTGGATGGAAGGTAAACATGGTGAGTGATGCCAGAGTCACATTGGATGCAGCATGTAATAACTTGATTTGTGACAAAGGCACTGAAGAGCCTGGCTAAGGAATTGTCTCTGCTGATGCTTCATCTTTGTGAGCTCGTATGGAGAAGCAGCTACAGGAGAGCCTATCATCCATAGTGGTTCAAGAGCATTCTCCTTGAAGAGAGACAATGGGAGGCAGGGATTGTGTTAGGGAGTCACGTCTGCTCTGTCCCTGCCTGACTGCAGCACCTTTTTTGGCAAGGAAACTCCTTTATTCAGGATTTGTGCAGTGCCTTTTGCACCCTTCTCTTCTGCTCACCTGTTCATCACGCTCCAGCACAGATACAAAGAACTTAAACCACCAATGCATGTGCATCAATATATTTCTCTCATCACTAATGAATCTAGCCAGTGCTATCATAGGAAAGCAGGAACAGGATGTGGCAGCTTCTCCTCAGTGACAGGACTGTGTATTCCTGCACTGGTGTCTGCAGAAATGCCATAAAATGCAATTAAAAGAAGAACAGTCCATGCAGAAGTTGCAAAGAGAGGAATATGCCTTTTGCTTGCAAACCCATCCCACTGCTCTATCAGCAGTTCTGCTCTTGGTCTTTCTTCCTCAGCCTAGCCCAGACACAACCTACTCACTCATCCTCCAGGCTGATGGGATGCAAAGTCTCATCCAAGCACAGGACCCTCAGAGCATCAGCAGGACGTCCTGCCTGGCCAAAGAATCTGGAAGCTTCTGGCTTTTGCAAGTCATTGTCGTCATCTTAAGCAGCATTAGAAGGAAACTGCTTTAGGGCACTGTCATTACTGTTAGAAAGTATTTGTTGACAGTGCAGTGACTGTGCCATTCTCATGAACCTCAGGCAGGGTTAGATTTGAATGCAAGCTCACCTGCTTTAGCACACAGAAGTTGGCCAACTGAGCTGAAAAATGAAGGTCTCAGCATCACCAGGAGCTAGCAGTTGCTTTGCACACAGATTAATAAAGATGGACCCAGCTTAGCTGAGGACAAATGCAATTAAATGTCTACATACCAGTGTAATTACAAACAGGTTGGTGATTAAACACCATTACTGGTCTGGACCTAAACTTGACAATAGATTGCCAATAGATACACACGCCTTTGCCAACGAGTTACACAATCCTGCACTCCTACAGCTCCCAAGAACCTGCATATTTCCTGCTCACATGGCCTGATGGCATCACCAGGAGGGTGCTCATTTGTTCCAGTCAGTGAAAGCAGCACAGACTGGAAGTTTCCCATGCAGGAATGAGACTGATCCATGCGTCATCCTCCACATATGTCACTGCAAGACACATCACTAAATATAGTACTTGGGAATGAACTCGCAAGCAGACTTGACAGCTTTTACTAAAAATCAGGTGTGCATTGGTAACATGCTAATTGCTGGGGCATTTTTTCCCAGCTTTTCCTCCTTGACAGCTCACAAGATGCTAAGTCTCTACCTTCTTCACCCCAGAGAGGAGCTTAAATTCAGTGTAAGGAAAGAAGATAAAGTGAGAAGTTCCCTTTTCCTTCTCAACGAATCCCACCACCAGTGATTTCACCCCAGTCACCAAGCAGATGGCATCAAGATACATGTTGGATCTGAAGTCTGGATGAAGGAAAGAGGGACAGACAGATAAATGTCATTATCATAAGGACAGTTAGCTCTCCCCTCCTTTTCCAGTTGGAGGCTGTCCCATGCTGGTGAAAGGCAGGGATGGTGGCGTTTTCAGCCACCAAGCTCATAGAGGGCACTTAAAAAGCAATGAGAGCATCCCCATGTGGAAGCTGTCCTGCTGGAGAGAGGTCCCCAGTGCAGGCAGAGATGAGGTGGACATCACTGGGCTGCCCTCCAAGGGTGTTTCCTTGCAGGCAGCTCCATCACTGCAGGCTGCTGACTCACCCTGACAGCTCAGGATGCTCAACCTCATCCTCCTCTTAGCAGAAGGCTATTTCTGTCTCCCAAACAACAACAAACAGGAGCAGCTCTGGGGAGGCAGAGTGAGAAACTGCTGCGTGCCATCCCCAAGGGAAGCAAACACGAGGAGGTGATCATCAGCCCCATCTCATGGGGCTTAAACCAAACCCTGCCCAAACCCTATGGACAAACAGCGATGCTCTTACCACGGGATGACACGCTCAGAAAGGCTGGCTGAGATCCTGCTGTAGCAGCCCAAGCAGGGTATTTGGTTGTTGCTGATTGAGAATGATATTCATTAAGACCTGGAGTCAGGCAAAGCCAATGTGCTCTTCTGCAATGGCTGATATTGAAAGGAGCTGGGGCGGGGGGAAGAAACCTTGGAAAATACAACTTATTTGGCAATGCTGATTAAAACCAGTTTGAGTTTCATTGTGAAAGGCTCAAGGTTGATTGAGTCCTGGTCTCTTCCATCCACATGAGGTTTGTTTTAGTGAGCATGGAGTTATATGAATCTATTAATGATTTTTTCCTGAAGGTTTCCTTATACCCATGCCCGGGTTTTCATACGGCGCTTTCCAGCCACGTGTCTGGAAATGCATCCCAAATTAGTGTCAGCCCTGGTCTGAAGATGGAGAAACTCCAGCAGAGTCTGAGCAAGACAATTCCTAAGCAGCAACACCAAGCCCCTTGATCCTGAAAACACTGGAGCTGGAGCCTGCATAGGCAGGGACAAACACAAAGCATGTTGTTAGCCAGAAGGGAATGACTGACCTGGGGGATGGCTGCTGACCACCGGCAGAGCCTGGCACGGCTCATGCTGCAGCCAGCAAGAGACATCTGCCCTCGTGAGAAGGGCAGCCGCTGGAGCAGGAGGTGCAGGATGACAGCCTGTAAATCCCTGCCTGATGCGCTCTCCCGTCACCAGCCCTGGGATGCTGACTCCAGCCTTGTCCTCTGGACAAGTCCTCAAGGA